ATTTTGAGGGAGGAATTGAACAGATGATGGTTTCCTGCCTCCAAATATGAGAGACAATTAAGAACATTTTTATATGTTATCTACTCAGGAGAAAAATGATCAGACTCCTGCTCCCAACACGGAATGAAAACAGCTTCTCCAATTTCCTGGAAGAATGAACTGAAGCTATTAGTCAAGGCTGAAGGCCAGTGGGCCTGCAAAATTACCACAGGGTGACATTCCCATGGAATACCAGAACACGTGGTGTGTTTTTATTTATGTAAGTGGAAGTATACACATAGGTCATACTTCGGGAAAGATAGTTTATGTCACTGAAGTTCATACTCCATGCTGCCTGGGGACATTTTCTGGAAACGGAAATTCAGAAGATTTATTGAGTGCAATTAAATACAGTAAATCTACACTTTATTTCACTGAATGGGGAGGATGGCTGCAGAGTTTGGAGAAGAGTCCATGTAGCTGTGTCAGAAGAGATATATGTGTCCCTTCCAAGAGAGTTTATCACCTTTTCCCAGGAACTGGCTGGTGATGAGTCTGCAGCCACAGGACGAACGTGCTGAGCAGTTCCTCTTATGAGCGAACACAGCTTCCCACCAACGCGAAGCCCTTAAGCCATACAATGAAAAACGAACCTCGTTGAATTGCTGGTCCATGAAGAATGTGTCTCATGTGAGGAGTGAGCACGTTACATCTTCTGCTGCTGGAATCAGAGTTGAAATAGGTACTTCTGCCTCGATCCTGGGTGCAGGTGAATAAAGAAAAAAGTAGAGTCCAGGACACACGAGGGCTGGAGGGAGCTGGTGTGGGATCTGGGCATAGACTTGCACGAGGGACATGGTGATGGTGCGGGTGGAGACCACGTGGGGGAAGCTCAGGCTGCAGATCTGGTCTGTGGAGAACAGCTCTGCTGTTTACTTTCCACCAACCTCGAGCAAGAAAGTCCCTTCACCCCTTTGGGCCTCAGTGGCCTCGTGTCAAAGTGGACTAACACTCCTTGTCTGCCTCAGATGGTATAAGGATCAAGCGAGAACACAGATAAAGCATTTCACTCAAAGGGGATAAAGAGGTATTGTTTTGAAAGATGCGAAATTTCAGAATGCCCCCGAATTTAATTTAAATGCCTCTTTGTCCCTATTATATCTTTAGGATAATGTGAAAATTTTATTCGGAGTTTTGATGTTTTGCCTGTTCCTTCTTTAGCATTTCTCAGGGCTGAATCTGTTATTTTATATAGTTTTAGAAAAGTGAACACTGTATCTCTATAAATTAATAGTAGTCTTTGGAATAAAGAGCCTAAAATCTGCGTTCTGTCCTTAACGCCATTTTAAATTTCTAGCAGATTTAACCCTCATGTTCCTCAGTTTCTCCACTCATTACTTTTGTAGTTACAGGAGTGACAGGGGGACTGTCGTTAAAGAGGGTGGCACAGTGCCTGGTGCACAGTGAGCATTCAGTGAATCGCAGGGAGGTGATAGATAGATTGATAGATAGATAGATAGATTGATAGATAGATGATAGATGATAAATAGGTGATAGATAGACCAACAGATAAAATAAAGCAATCACTTACACGACCACACTCCAGAACTTGTCATTGTTCACAACTGTTCTCCCCTCTGGTGTCTTAGAGTCCCCGCACTGAGGGCAAACTTTCTTTTTCTGAACTGCTCCACTCGATCACTGCTGAGCGTGCCCTCCACCCCCATCAAGCCTCACTGTTTCCTTATCTCTCAGACACTATTCCCCTTCACGCATCCTTTGCTTCCTTATTCAAGTGCTGTTTGAATAACATCATTCCTTATTTCAAATCAGCTGACTATGCTTTGTGGAACCATGCTTTTGCACCCTAGATTCCTCCTACTCCCTCAGCACCCCACGTGCCCGCCCCAAGTCAGTCCCTTGCTGGTCCTCACACCATCCCTTCCATGTGGGACTGTGTCCATTTTCCCGGGCTATTGAGCGCTTCCTGAGAGAGTCATGAGATGAGGCCCACTGGTATCACTACGAATTCTAGCTTGTATTTAGCAATCATTTTATTCATCTGCTCATTATAAATTATTGTTATTATTTCTATAATCATATTATTTCCATTTTCTTAGGTGCTAAACTAAGTCTGTTTATGCCTGGAATTACTCCAGGAGTTTCAACTTCAGGCAGATTTCAGAGTCTACTTCAATTTGGAATCTGTGAATTTAAATAACTCTGGAGTGAACTCAAATTCACACTCCCCGATCTTAGTTTACAGAACTACTAGGCATATACTCTGATTTGCTCATCTGGTGTAGGAAAGAGCACAAGGATCTGGAGCCCTGGAGATCTGCTTTCCAGTCTGTGCTCCAAGACTTACTTACGTTGTCTTAGGCGAGTGACTCCACCTCGTTCAACAAGCCCCTGTACAATGGGAGTCACGATGCTCACTTCTGTCCCTAAGAAAACTGAAAGAGATTCAATGCGTCAATATGCCTGGTGGCAAATGGTTGAGGCCCTGTGCTTCTGTTTCCTTCTTTGCCTTTAACCTGAATCCTACTTGCTGGTATAACTTTAATCCTTGACAGCTGAGAAACAGACAACAATCACAACAACAAATCGAAAAGGCCAAACTGTGTTTCTATGGCTTGAAGAGTGAGCTAATGCTAACTCTTCCATAAAGTTCAAGAGAAAGGACTACTGCACACTTCCTTCTGTGAGATTAGTGTCACTCTGGTCCTAAGACCAGAAAAACACATTGCAAGAACAAAACAACAGCAACTAAAGAACTACAGTCTAGTCTCCCTCATGAACATAGATGCAAAAATTCTTAACAAAATTTTACCAAATCCAACCTTCATTGATTATAGAAACTCTCACAATCTAGGAAAAGAAGGGAATGTCCTCAGTTTGATACAGGGCAACTGTAAAAGCCCTATAGCTAATATCATATTAATGGTGAAACTCTCAATTCTTTCTCTCTAATATCAGGGGGAAAAGGGTATTTGCTGTTAACACATCTCTCCATTAGTACCAGAACTAGTGTTAGAGGTTCTAGCTAGTGCAGTAAAGCCAGAAGAAGAAATAAAAGTCTCCATATTGGAAAATAAGTAAAACACTTTACTTGTGGAAATTATAATCATCTATTTAAAAAATCCTTTTGGAATCTACAGAAAAAGCTACTATAACTTATAAATAAGTTTAGCAAGTTTTCAGGATAAAGACCAATATTGAACAATCAATTTGAAACTAGATAAACAATATATTTAATTTTACATCAAAAATATGAAATACTTAGGAGGGATATACTTGACAAAGATGGGCAAGACTTCAACACTAAAAACTACAATACACAGCTGAGAGAAATTAAGGGAGACTTGAGTAGATGGAGAGAGATACTGTGGTCATAGGTTGGATAACTCAATATTGATAAGGTGTGAATTTCTACCAAATCAATCTATGGATTAAAAGCAATTCTTGAAATCTCAGCTGGCCTTTTTTTTCTTTTAAAGAAATTGACAAGCAGATTTTAAAATTTAGGAAATGTCAAAAAGGACTTAGAATAGCCAAAACAATTTTGAAAAGAAAAAAAAGTTGGAGAACTTAACACTACTTGGTTTCAAGACTTATGATAAAGCTATAGTAGTAATAAAGACAGTGTGGCATTGGAGAAAAGATGAATAAAGGAATAGAACAGAACAGAGTCCAAAGTAGACCTATACATATATGATCAATTAATCTTTTTGTTGTTGTTGAGGAAGATTTGCCCTGAGCTAACATCCATTGCCAATCTTCTTCTTCTTTTTTTTTGCTTGAGGAAGATTAGCCCTGACCTAATATCCATGCCAATCTTCCCCTATTTTGTATGTGGGATGCCTCCACAGCGTGGCCAAGAGTAGAGTACGTCCATGCCCGGGATCCGAACCTACAAACCTGGGCCACTGGAGTAGAGTGCACGGAACTCTAACCACTTGGCAATAGGGCAAGCTCCCAGTTAATTTTAAACAATGCTGACAAGGCATTTCCATAGAGAAATGGTAATCTTTTAAACAAATGGTACTAGAAAAATTGGATAGTATATTGAAAAAAAAGAAACTTTTCATTTTTTTACCTCATACCACATACAAGAATTAACTCAAAATTGAGAAAGATCTAAATCTAAAAGCTGAAACTTCCAGAAGAAAACACAGGAAATCTTAATGACTTTGGGTTTGGCAAAGTTTCTTAAAAATGACACAAAATGATGGAACAATTGATAATTTAGACTTCAAAAAAATAAAAACTTATACCATTCAAAAGGCACTGTTATGGAGATGAAAAGGCAGGCCACCTACAAGGAGAAAATACTGAAAAACATATGTCTGACAAAGAAACTGCATTTGAGATACGTAAACAACTTTACAACTCAGTAATAAGATGACAAACAATCCAATTCAAAACGGGCAAAAGATTTGAACAGATACTACACCAAAGACAATACATGGATAGCAAATAAGCAGAAGAAAAGATGCTCAACATCAGTAGTTATTAGAGAAAGGCAAATAAAAACCACAATGAGATACTGTTAACACACCCGCTAGAAAGACTAAAATTCAAAAGGCTGACATACCAAATTTGGTGAGGTAGTAGGGACTAGAATGTCATGTATTGCTGGTAGAAACGGAAGGTTGTACAACCACTGTGGAAAACAGTTTAGCAAAAAAAATTAAAGACACAACTACCATACGACCCTGCCATTCCACTCCTAAGTGTTCACCCAAGAGACATGGAAAGCAGGTCCATGCCAAGACTCGACACAAACAATCATAGCAGCTTTATCTGTGATCAGGGCTGGTATGAGGGTGAGGCAAGTGGAACATTTGCACAAAAAGGAAGATGAGCGCCTCCTTCAGTTTTGTGCATAAGAAGCCTTGTTTATCTCTCCTTAGTCCAAGCCTTGTTTAAAATAGTCACTACCTGAAAACAACCCAAATGTCCAACAACAGGTGGTGGATAGAGAAACAGTGGTAATCCATACAATGAAATGCTATCCAGTGCTCTCTTTGGCAGCACATATACCAAAATTGGAATGATACAGACAAGATTAGCATGGTCCCTGTGCAAGGATGACATGCAAATTTGTGGTGTTCCACATTTTTATGAAACAAGTAAGTCCTGGGAATGTCATGTTAAGTGTGGTGACTATAGTTGATAACACAGTATTGTATATTTGAAAGTTGCTAAGAGACAGTAAATCTTAAAAGTTCTCATCACAAAGAAAAAAAAATTGTAACTATGTGTGGTGATGGGTGTTAACTAAACTTATTGTGGTGATAATCTGGCAATATATACAATTATTGAATCATGTTGTACACCCGAAACTAACATAATGTTATATGTCAAATTATACCTCAATAAAAAAAAAAAACTATTCAGCAATAAATAGGAATGAACTATTGATTCATGCAACAACATAGATAGATCTCAAATAACTATTCCAAGTGAAAGAAGTTAGACAAAAAGAATACATATTGTATGATTCCACATTTATAAAATTCTAGAAAATGCAATCCAATATATAGTGACCAAAAGAAGATCAATGGTTCCCTGGGAATTGGGGAGCAGGGAGTAGAGGGAAGGAGTACAAAGAGGAAAAGGAAGCATTTGGGGTGATAGGATATGTTCCCGCCTTAATTCTACTGATGGTTTCACATCTTGAAATGCCCCAAACTTATCAAACTTCACCTTTTAATATGTGTAGTCTATTGTATGTTAATTATATCTCAGTAAAACTGTTAAAAATAAATGAGGCACAATAAAAACTTAAGACATGAATCCTTATTGCATTCTGATTAGGAAAATAAGAAACTTTAGGGACAATTGGGAGTATTTGAATATGGACTAGGTATTAAATATATTAGATTACTAGTATTTTTCTTAGTTATAATAATGGTATTTTGGTTATGTAAGAAAATGCCAGTACTCTTAGGATATTCATGCTGAAGTATATAGGGATAAAACGTTGTGATGTCTGCAGTTTATTTCAAGCAGTTTGGTAGAAAAATAAATCGATAAAGCAAATACGGCAAAAATATTAAGATTGTTGAATCTAGGTATTCGTTATACAGGAATTCATTATACTATTCTTTCAACATATTTTTGTATGTTTGATTTTATCATTAAAAAGTTGGAAAAATTTACCAAACAGATTTGAAAAAGAACCAAATTACAAAAGATAAACAAAAAGTAATTGAATAATCAAACTTAATAGATAGGTTTAACTGAAGACATAGCAGAAGATAAAATTGATGAATTGCAAAATAAATCTAAAAAAATTATTCGGAATGCAGTACAGAGAGAAAAAGAGACAGAAAATATGAAAGAAAAGTTAAGAAACATGGAGAATAAAGTGATAAGGTCTATCATAAATCTGGTTGGAATTCTAGGAGAAAGAGAAAGAGCGGGGTCAAGGCCCTATTTGTAAGAATAATTCCTGAGAACTCCTAATGAATCCCTGAAAGTATAAATGAAAAGAATCCACACTTAGTCACGCCATGATGAATCTGCAAGACACCAATGGCTGAGAGAAGGTCTTAAAAGCTTCCAGTGGAAAAGATGATGACTTCTGAAAGAATGAAGACTGATAGCTGGCTCTTCATCACCCACAACAGCAGCCAATCTAAAAATCAAATATTTTCAGTGGATTGAAAGAAAATAATTGTCAACCTAGAATTATTTAACCAGAAAAAGTATCTTTTAAGAATGAGAACAAAACAAAGACATTTTCAGGTAAACAAAAAGTGAGAGTGTTTGCCACTAGTCATGTTCACTAAGTGAAATTATAAAGTATGTATATGAAACAGAAAAAAAGAGAAGAAGAAAGTCAGAGATACAAGAAGGAATGTAGTGGACATAAAAATGGGACATTTATTGGTATATCTAGACAAATTAGACTAAATAAAATAATATAATAATATCTTCTGCAGTTTAAAAGTAGAATTAAAACACAGAACAATAGTATGTAAATTAGAAGAAGGGTAAATATATTGATTAACATTCTACTTTCATAAGTATCATCTTGAAGTTTCTAGGGTGTCCTCAATAGAAAAAAGTATATAACTTTCAAATTAGTAAAGGGGAAAAGGTAGAATGAGAAAAAAAATGTCAATTCAAAAGAAGGCAAGAAAGCAGAGAAAGTAAACTCCGATGACTTGGGAAAAATTGAAAGCAAAATATAATAGATACAAATATTTTTCATACTGTATTAAAAAAATCAATACCAGAAGGCAAGTATAAGAACACTCATAGCAGCATGTTCACTAAAAACAAAACAACAAAACCCTGAACATAACCTGAAAGTCCATCAAAAGTGGATTGAATGAATAAATTATGGCACAGTCTTACAACAAAATACTATATAACAGTGAAAATAAGTGAACTACAGCTACACGCATCAACATCAACGAACCTCACAAGCCCAATATTGAACAAAGAAGAAAGACACAGAAGAATTTTAAGAAAAAGTTCAAAAACTGGACCAATTGACCAATACTTCATTTATTTAAAGTCATCAAGGAGATTTGCACAATCATAAAGTCAAGGGGATGATTATCATAGTATCAGGAAAGCAGGTACCTCTTGGAGGAGGATGTCCTCAGGGAGGAGCACATTAGGGAGAGTATCTCTAGGTCCACGGCCGAGGGTGGGGGGAGGGGGAGAGAGGGGTGGGTCATCCAGGGAGGAGGAAGGACCCCCTCAGGGAGCAGCACACACGGGTCTTCCAGGGTGTTGGCCCTGTTCTCTAGCTGTGCCCTGTGTAGTGGATGTGGGGAGCATATGTTTTATGCCCCATTTTTTATGTCTGATATAGTTATCAATTTAAAACTGGAAAGGAAGAAAAGAGCAGCTCTCTACGGAGCCCTCTAAGACATCCAGGAGGATGAGTCTAGAAAACCTACATACAACCTACCAAGATTGAATCATGAAGAAACAGAAAATTTGAACAGACCAATAATGAGTAAGGAGATTCAAATAGCAATCAAAAACTTCCCACCAAAGAAAAGTCCAGGATCAGATGGTTTCACCAGTGAATTCTACCAAACACTTAAAGAATTAACACCAATCCTTCTCAATCTCTTCCAAAAACTGAAGAGAGGAAATACTCCCAAACTCATTTTATGAGGTCAGAATTACCCTGATACTGAAGCAAAATAAAGACACTATAAGAAAACTATAGGCCAACGTCCCTGATAAATATGTGCAAAAATTTTCAACAAAATAGTAACAAACTGAATTCACACAGTGCATGGAAAGGATTATACACAATGATCAAGTGGAATTTATCCATGGAAAGCAATGCAAATCAATAAATTGATACACCACATTAATAGAATGAAAGAGAAATCAAATGTTCATCTCAACAGATTCAGAAAAAGCATTTGACAAAATTCAACACCCTTTCATGATAAAAACTCTCAATAAATTGGTTATACAAAGAATGGGTCTCAACATAATAAAGTCCATATATGAGAAATCCATAGCTAACATCATACTCAATCGTGAAATGTTCAAAGCTTTCCCACTAAGAATTGTGACAAGGGTGTCCACTCTTATCACTCCTACTCAACATGGCACTGGAAGTCCTAGCCAGAGCAATTAGGCAAGAAAAAGAAATAAAAGCCATCCAAATCAAAAGGGAAGAAATAAAATTGTCTCTGTTTACAGATGATATTATGTGTGTGTGTGTGTGTGTGTGTGTGTATGTATGCATGCATGGTAAAAAAAAAGAATCCTGGGAAAGTGCACAGGCATACAGATATAGGGACACAGCTCTTTCATGGGTGGGTGAGAATCTTGTAACTACCCATGTCTACTCCTTTACTTGGCCTAAGAAACCTGGAGTTCAATTTCCTACTTGCCTTTCATAACCACATAGGACTTTATTAGTTTAGATACTTACTCCCTGTGACTTCCTACTCTTTTTTCCTTCATCCTGACTTCCTCATCTATTTATCTTATTCTGATATAAACTACTTCAAATTCTTTTCAGAACAAAATAGGGTATACATTTATACACACATCATCATCCAAATTGGTTTACAAATGGCCAAGGATTCTTATGATCTGCCTCCAGTCTATTTTCTCAACCTGACATCCTACTCCAGCCCTAATATGCATATGGAAATACTGTCGTATTTTTCTAAACTCATGTAGCTTTCTGTTTTGATGCAACTAGGTGCACGGGATTAACAGGTGAGCAGATTTGGTTTGAGTCTTGGATTTCCTTACAGGCTATGTAGGCTTACTTAAGTAAATTAACCCCCTGAACCTCAGTATCATCATCTGTGAAACAGTACCATCACCTGTAAACGGTTGCAGGATTGTTGTAACGATTAGAAGTATTTTATGTAAAGCCCTAAAACCTAAGCAGCAGTTCAAAACAGCAGATATTGATAAAATGAAAAAACTCATTTGTCATTCACTGGTTGGCGGATGTTGGAGGTTAAATTACCTCTGAGCTTGTTTCTTTTTAAACATGATTATCTGCCTAGATTTTTTTAGGAACTGGATGAAGATGTGTAAACATAAGTCAACGCAGGTAAAACACCTTACAGATTGACTCTCCATTAACTTTGGGGTTTTTCCTCCTTTACCCTTTTGCCCGCACCTGGAAAGCCCTTTCTTACCATCTGTTAGAACGCAACCATTTACCAAGAATCAGTGAAAAGAGGGCCTTCCTATTTATTTTTCTGATTGTAATTAACGTTGTCCTTAAAGACCTCCGTGGACTTCTTAAACGTCTGTTATAACATTCTGAGTAGCTCTGTGTCTTCCCTGCCCCGTGGTCCCCAGTGTTTTGGGGGACCTTTCTGCTCCCTCATGACACCTTACACGCAGCTGGGCATCACTGTTGGTCGCTCTGAGCCCATCTTTCTGCGGACGCTCGGCTCCGTGAGACCACCTTCTGCTTCCCTAGCAAGGCTCCGGCCCCCCGCTGACCCCGCCCCGCGACCTCAGCCGCGCTCGCCGTCACGTGGCTGCGCTGGGATCGCGTGGAAGTGAAAGCGAACAACAAACCAGACCGGCACGTGTGACACTGCATTTTAATGTCTTACATCACACCGCAACAACACTGGCTTCCGGGTGGCTCCCTCCGTGCAA